TCCTGGCCCCTCCCCACCATTCCTGCTCCCGCCCCATTGGGTATGGGACTGCCCCTTTAAGAGCAGTAGATCCGCCTTGAATAGAGGAGGACCTATTAGAGCCTTTGCCCCAGCGCCGGTGACTCAGAGTGTTCCCGGCGCACCATCTACATTAGCCAACCCAGAACCCGAGGTGCGACAGCGCCCAGCCCATATCTCCACGCCTGCCAGGAGCAAGCCTAGAGCCAGCCGCTTGGTGCGCTCAGCCCCTGAGCAGCCTCCGTCCTTCCGTCCGGATCCCGTGCCCTTCTCGGGTCCCCTGCCCAGCGGGCAGCGCTGTCACCCTGCCGGCCATGGAGACCCCGTCCCAGCGGCGCGCCACTCGCAGTGGGGCGCAGGCCAGCTCTACTCCGCTGTCGCCCACTCGCATCACTCGGCTGCAGGAAAAGGAGGACTTGCAGGAGCTCAATGACCGCCTGGCGGTGTACATCGATCGTGTACGCTCGCTAGAGACCGAGAATGCAGGGCTGCGCCTTCGCATCACTGAGTCTGAAGAGGTGGTCAGCCGAGAGGTGTCCGGCATCAAGGCGGCTTATGAGGCCGAACTGGGTGATGCCCGCAAGACCCTCGACTCTGTGGCCAAGGAGCGCGCCCGCCTCCAGCTGGAGCTGAGCAAAGTGCGTGAGGAGTTCAAGGAGCTGAAGGCGCGGTGAGTGAGGCCAGGCGGGGCGGGTGCTTACCGGCTCCAGCAAGGCAGCGAAGGCCCTGCGCCTAGTCCCTTCCCTCCCCGGAACTGCCACCCGCGGGTGACTGACAGTGCCAAGGGGGAATTGTCAAGACAGGACACAGAAGGGAGGGGGTCTCTGGAACAGGGTGAGGAGATATAAAGAGTGGTAAGGGGCATTGGGGACAAACTGGGGCTGGCGATGGGGCTGCACTCTGTTAAGGTGGGATTTTACAGCCATTCCAAGCCTAGGGGACAGACTTGAGCAAGGCAAAACTGGTCCTGCCGGGTCTTGGAACTCTGGGCACCCAGGACACATTGGAACGTGTGAAAGGGTTCTGTTAGAACTTTCTTGGCAGGGTTGGCATAATGCCAAGTTTGCCGGGGTGCCTCTGAACACATGGTGCCCACTAAAACAGAACTCTGAGCTGACATCTGTCCAGTAGAACTGCAGAGGGGTCAGCGGGGCAGCTTAGCCTCCACCCCCTTGGTTGCCTTAGCATTGCTTCTTCCTGGTTCCTTCTAAGAACTGGAAGCTCTTCCTCACCTCCTGAACGTCTGGGATTTTTCCTGGACTGTCAGTCCACCAGAAGCACACCAGAAGATCTGCTCCCCTACAGATCTACTCCCTTCCTCTACAGCCCTTGACCTGCCTGGCCCAGGAATGCAAGGGAGGGGAGGGAGAGGAGGGAGACTGGGGACAGAGACTACTGGCTCAGGAAAACCATGTTATGCCTGGGTCTGGGGCACCCCACTCTTGGCCCTCTCTGCCTCCTGATTTTAAGGGTTATGGGATCAGTCCTTTCTTCACTCCTTGGAGTGAGCCACTTTCATTTTCCCAGCCTAGCCACACCAGCCTTTAGTCTGGCCCATCCTCTTAGCTGCTGACGTCCTGATTCTTTGCCTTATTAAACTGTTGGAATACAGTGACATTTTTGAAATCCAGCCGTTAGGGAGCTTCAGGCCACTCCCACTTCACCCATCCCTGCCCCACCCTACTTGACTCCACCTTCTTTTCTAAAAAGGCTTTCCAAAGTCTGGATATTTCATGGACCCTCTTCTTCAGCTGGACTCACATTTGGTTTCATGCTCCATGCCCCTTTCTTTTATGCATTTGTAGACCCAGGCCAAAGATCCCTTTGACCTCTCCTCCTTATTTCATTTTGCATTATTTTCTCCAGGCTCATAGAACCTCTGTGTATCTGTGATAGGTCATTCTACTCTTTTTTGGGGGTGGGCCTCTTTTTGAGACAGGGTCTTCCAGTAGCCCCAGTTGGCCTGGAAATCACTGTGTAGACCAGGCTGGCCTTAAACTCTGCCTGTCTCTGCCTCTACGCCCAGCAGGTCATTCTACTCCTTACTAGTCCCCAACTCCAGGCAGAGGGTATGGCAGATCCATCAGCCTCCTGAAGGGCATATGGAAGTTGTGTAAACAGATATGTCCAACTTTTCTTTCTATGGAAAGAGATCACCTGTCTTTTTTTCCATCAGGGATATGAACAACTTAACAAGAAAGATACGATGCCAGCTAGAGGAGTCCCAGTGAGTTAGTGATCTAAACTAGTCAACTCAATCATCAAAGCCCCACTTCAGACCTCTCTAGAGAATTTGTGTAGCAGATCTGGGGACAGCATTGATGGGGAACAAGGCCAGAGTCTGTAGCTTCTTGCTCATCAAGTCACACCAGTCTGTCTTCTGCCTCCCAGTGCAGCTGTTCTGGCCTGGGATACCAGGAGGTGTGTGTACATGTGGGGTAGGGGTGGGGTGATGTGCGGACTTGTTATATTTAGCCACCTGTCTCTGTTCTCCCCTACTGATACTGAGGAGGTTGGGCTTCCGGAAAAGGGGGGTGGTGTACACACCTGGATCCTAGGCTGGGAGGAGACAAAGGGAACTGAGGCTGGGGTGTCTGTCCCCTTCTGTGTCTATAGTAGGAGGATCCACAACTGCTTACTCCTTTTTCTGTCTGTTGAGCTCAGGTTGATGTGGAGAAATGGTCAGAATGAGCTTTGTGGGAGGAAGAAAGTCATGATCCAACCAGAGCCTGGGAAGGTGGTGGTGTCTGGTTTAATGTTTAATTAGAGGTCACAGTTCAGGGCCAGGTTTGGAATTGGATGCAGAACTGTCTGTGAGACCCTGGTGGCAACCTTTGGCTCAACTTCATCTGGAAACCACACCCAGGGGCCCCTTCTTTTCTGACTTGATTATAGGTTCCAAGAAAAACCCCTAACTCTCCTCTCCGACTCCCCCAGAGATTTGTACACCTGTATGTCAAATAGGAATGGTTGGAAGCTCAAGGGAAGGCTCACCTGGGGTCCAGGCTTAGAACTGGGCCCCACCCCAGGCAAAACTGCTGGGTGGATGACTCAGATGCTACCCCTGCCTCCCTACCCTAGAGGCTTTACAAGAGAGGCAGTAGGAGACAGGGTGGAGAGACCACAGCTGTCTTAAAGGGGAGACATAGGGGTCTGAATGTCTCCATCTTCTGCCCTCTTTCCACAGTATCCCAGAGTCCCTTTCCTGCTTCCTCCTTTGGATTTATGTTATTTGGAAGGACACAGAGCATACAGAGGTCAGAGGACAACTTGGGGAAGTTGGTTTTCTCCTTTCTACCATGTGGTGCTGGGGATCAAACTCATATCATCAGGCTTGGCAGTAAGCACGCTACCCCACTAAGCCATCTTGCTAACTCCCTGCCTCCTTCTTTGGAACCTCTGATAGTAAACCTAACACTTGGGAGGCAGAAGCAGAGGGTCACTGCAAGTATGAAGCCAGTCTAGCTCAAAAAATGAATTCCAGGCTAGCTAGGACTCTATAGGTTGCAGGCTATACTCTTTTTTTTTTTTTTTTTTTTTTTGATAAACCAAAACTTTTTAAGCTTTGTGGAACTCACTATGTAGACCAGGCTGGCCTTGAACTCACAGAGATCCTCACAAGTGCTGGGATTAAAAGGCATCCGCTACCACTCCCGGCAACAAGCTGTACTCTTAATTACTGCCCTGCTAACTTGAAGAAGAGTCAGTAAATTTTTCTTATTTTTCTTCCTTTCTTTTTCTTTTCCTTTCCTTTTTTTTTTTTTTTTTTTTTTTTGAGACAGGGTTTCCCTGTAGCCCCATCCTAGAACTCACTATGTAGACCAGGATGGCCTGGATCTCACAGACATTTGCCTGCCTCTGCCTTCCAAGTTGTGGGATTAAAGGTGTGTGCCACCACAACCAGTTTGTCTGTCTTTTTTTCTTTCCTTCCTTCCTTCCTTCCTTCCTTCCTTCCTTCCTTCCTTCCTTCCTTCCTTCCTTCCTTCCTTCCTTCCTTCCTTCCTTCCTTCCTTCCTCTTCTTTATGTGTGTATTGGGGGTACCCAAGTGGAGGTCAGAGCAAATGAGCTGGTTCTCTTCTTTCACCATGTAAGTCCCAGGGATGGAACTCAGATTGTCAGGCTTAGTGACAAGTGTCATTACTCAGGCCCTGAATAAACTATTCGTAAATAAAAGAGGGAGAGGGGCTGGAAGAGATGGCTCCGCTGCTATTAGCACCCACTAACTGCTCATAACTTCCTGTAACTCCAGCTCCAGGGCATCTGCTGCCCTCTTCTGGCCTCCATGAGTACCCTCACACATGTGGTATCTACTCATAAAGACACACACACACACACACACACACACACACACACACAAAGAAAAAAAAAAACCCAGCTTTTCGGACTAGAGAAATGGCTCAGTAGTTAAGAGCACTGTACTCTACGAGGACTAGTACTCACATCAGGTGGCTCACAAATGCCTGTATCTCTAGTTCCAAGGGTTCCTATACCCCTTTCTAGCCTCCTTTGGCATCCATAGACACTCATAAATAAATTTAAAAAAAAAAGAAGTTGATCTTAGGGGCTGGAAAAATGTCTCAAAGGTTAAGAGCTCTGGCTGTTCTTGCAGAGGACCTGGGCTCAGTTCCCAGCACCCACATGGCAGCTACCAACCATCTGTAACTCCAATTCCAGGGGATCTCATGGCCTCTACTGGCCTCCATGGGTGTTGCATGACATGGGTGCATTTATATACACACAGGCAAAACACTTGTATACAGAATAACTTAAAAAAATTTTTTTTTGAAAACTGGGCATAGTAGTACATGCTTTTAGTTCCAGCACTTGGGAGGCAAAGACAAGCTCATCTCTGAGATTGAGGCCAGTCTGGTCTACATAGGGAGTTCCAGCCAGCTGGGGCTGCAAGGAAACCCTATCTCAAAAAGACCGAAAAAAAAATATTTTTTAAGTTTTTAGAAAGAGGTTGATCTTAAAAAAAAAACACAAAAAAACCCCACAAAAACCAAAACTAACAAAAAAAACCTCTCAGAATCTGGAACCAGGGTTCTAGAGAGGCACTGTGTGCAGGTATTTAAAATGGCAAAAGTGTGGGGTGTAGCTCTGTGGTAGAGTGCCTGCCTAGTATATACCAGACCCTGTCCTGTGTTCCATCCTCAAAAAAAAAAAAAAAATCATATATTGGCTGGAAGACTGTAGCTCAGTAGTACAGCACTTGTCTAGCATGATCAGGGTCCTATGTTCAATTCCCTGTACTAGTCAGGCATGTTGGCACAAGCTTATAATACCCAGCACTTGGGAGGCTGAAGCAGGAAGACTATGGTGAGTTCAAGGTTACACTGGGCTATGTAGAGTCCAGAAAAAAATAATAATAATAATAATAGGGGGTTGGGGATTTAGCTCAGTGGTAGAGTGCTTGCCTAGCAAGCACAAGGCCCCGGGTTCAGTCCTTAGCTCCAAAAAAAAAAAAAAAAGACAAAAATAAAATTGATTCCATAGTGCGTAATCCATGGGGAACTGTTGGAGTAAGGCTTAGTCAGAAATGGGACCGTGCCAGGCCCACAAAGCAAAAGCCCTCTTCTCTGCCATGAGGCCTGCATGCTAGATGGCTCCTTGGATTGCTGGCCTTATGTGGCCCCGATACAGAGAAGCAGGGAGATGTAGGCTCAGGT